CACAGCGATCATGGGTTCGAGACTCGGCATGAGAAAATTTTCACTTGTCCTTTTTCGAATCATTTGTACTGGAAATGAGGCTCAAAGCCTTCCTTTGGCTACAGACAGAAATGTCAGAGGAGTGGTTCGAATCCCACTATAAACTGTAGCTCTAGGTTTGAGCGGGAGGTTTGGCGAACCCTCTCTCGTTAAACTATCATTAGCCTTATAACGCATAAAACGCGCAGCTATGATCTTTAATGTCTGAATGTTAAAGTTTATTTATTTTTTTACATCAATGCTTGGTTCTTCAAATGAAATGTTCTTCGCAGCATCTTCTTACTAGCATTTCAACGGCCATTAAGCTAATTTAATGTCTCAAATCTTTTCCCACTTGAGAGAACTCAACGCAATCAATTTAGTGTGGCTTAATTCTAATAAATTATGATTTATTAGCAAACAAAGCAATACGCAGAAGTTCTAATTTTCCATGAACTATGAATAATGGCTATTCATAAAATGTGCTAATTTTGTGTACACATTTGTGATTTAAATGGCAATTTAACAATTAGTGCTGCATTAAGTATGTTTTTGGTACTTCTAATAATATTTTGATTTGCGATTCTGCTTGTTGAAGGTTAAGAAGTCAATCTTAACCTAAAAGCATTAACCATAGCATAATTCACATATTTTTCAGTTCCGGTTAAAGTTAAGCATTTCAAGATCGATTCTTAAAAATTCACAATTTTATGCTACACGCATTTTAGTTCATAAAATTCCTAAAAAACCTTGAGATTCCTGAAAAAATATTAAAACATCCAACAAACCGCTTTCATCATTCAACTCTTCAGTCTTTCACATCCAAAAAACGAAAAAGAATTCCCACAAAAAGAGACAGCTTCGTGATTTCCCTAACCTTGAAAATTTACTATAAAAATTTACTATTTTCATGCGCGTTCCATGCATATTGAATAATTAATAAACATCAGTAGTAATGATAGCTTTTATTGCTACCTCACGAATGAGTGTGATTGTTTAATATTTCATGAGATTCTAGAATCTAGATGAAATGTCATATAAAGTTTAGATAATTATGGGTTGACTTGCAAAATGGGTGTGGTGATGTATGATTGTAGGGATACGTTGGGAATGTTGTGTAAATATTTTGATAGTTTCATGTGGGATTTTAGGGACTGAAAGCTAGATTGTATTCTTTCAAGGGGATAACAACATGATGAGGAAACAAATAATTAGATAATCTTTTAATGATTACTAATTGAATTTAAAAGGAAAAATGGGAATTTTTTCGAGGGGATAACAACATGATGAGGAAAACAATTATTGTATAATCTCTTAATGATTACTGATTGAATTTGAAAGGAAAAATGGGAATTTCTAAAGGGGACAGCAACAAAATGGAAAAAAAAATTCGAGGGGAAAGACATGATGAGAATTTTTAAACATTTAGAACCAAACGTATGATCAGAAATCAGCAAGAACAAATAAAGTGAAATTTTTCATCATATTGTTATCCCCTTGCCTCCCTCCCTTAATCTTTACCCCTTATTAAATAGTATCAAAACACATTCTTAGCTGCCATAGTCAATAAGTCAATAACCAAAACTAATACCAGATCAAATATTTACAGCTCATCATCAACAAGATGTGAGCCATTAAATCCCCAAAACGGTTCATTCCACTTCATCCAAATTAGACTTTATAGTCTTGTCTTCATCGCATTCCTCATTAAAAAATTTTGTATTACAAATCACGAACTAAGAAGGTGTTACAATTCGCAGAACTATAAATTCAGCACAGAAGTCTCATACGTATCGGGACTTTCCAATTTGAACCACTAATTCGCATGCCATTTATATCCACTAAGACACTTTCGATGTCTCAAATCACAATTTGCATGATAAATTTCATTTCACAACGACTATGAGATGTTAAGAGGCGTTGATGATAGAATAATGATTGCCGATATTAAAATGTATTTTTCATGTATTTCGCATGACTCACTTTGCATGATGATGATGATGTTGATGTGAAATAAAATCAACAGCAATATTCATTTCTCATTTTTTTTGAACTTACCTGCTAATTGAAGTTGACAAACATTTATGAGCGTATTCATGTCACACATGTGTGTGTTACTGTGTTTTGTCGAGAGTTTGCTCATTCATAAAGAGAAGAAATGCAAATATTGAGTGTAGATTGTTTGGCTACAAAAGTGCCTTTTTTTTTTGTTTGAGAGAAACAAAGCCGACAAAAATCGTTGATATTTTTGTTGTTTGGAGAAAATTAAGAGAGAGTGATAACATGGGGAGATTTTGTCAGATTTATTGAGGAGATTGAGGAAAGCAAGGGTGCTAAAGATAAACTCCACGACACATAAGGGTTTCAGAATATATGACACATAAGAAACACGCTTTACGGGTCAATGTAATATATTGAAACACAAGTAATACGTCAGCCTCCCAAGGGGACAACAGCTTGATGGGAAAAACTTTTGATCAAAAAATATAAATGTAGTCAAATTTTTAAATGAAGATGAAAAATTTCGAGGGGGAAAACAACTCAATAGAAAACAATTGTGGCTGGAAATCCAAAATTTGATCAAGGGTGCAGTACTGATGAAAAAATGATCAAAAAAGTTACGCACTTTTGATTTTAATTTCCTACCATGTTTTTTAACGGACGTCATAAATGACCGTTTTGGAATTGCCAGAAAATTTCTTACGGGTTTGGGAGTCAAGTGTGAGCTTCCACTAAAGTCGTATTATCTTCAAGTTGTTTTCCCCTTGAAACCTTATCACAATTCCAAAATTAAACTTCAATTTTAAAAATAAATCGATCAAAACATTTTCACATCAAGCTGTTTTCCCCTTGCAGCTTCATCATCTCTTAAAATTCTGACAAAACTGCCCTAAAGGCTTATGTATATTTATATCTGAATAATGCAAATATATACGACGAGTGTTTTTTTATTTACAAAAATATTGTTTTATGAAATTTTTCTTCGTACGTAAAAATTCCGTCAAAAATTCTTCAAAATTTTACTTTAAAAATAGCTTTTTAATAATTTTAGTGTAGCTACTTTTTCGTTATCGAATTTCATAATACAACACAGTCAAAGTTGTATTAAATCTCCACAAAGTCTGAATCATATGATTACTAATAAAGCCACAGACGTAATGCTCACTGATTGACAATTTAAACAGACTCAGTCAGTCCAGTTTCAGTAAAGTCACGAAACAGTTTAAATGCATATACGGCTGTACAAATAATATGTACTGTAAATCATTAACTGACGTGTAGTTTATGTGAACTTTTTTTTTATAATTCATTAAAATTAACATTTTTATTAAATCAATCGTTAGTGCTCAAATAGAAAGTCGAATAAATCAGAGTTTCAGTATTCAGTTATTCGATATCATCCGGTGCAAAAGTCGTGCTTGAACAGCTAGTCGCACTTGATATTCTTGAGGTCAAACTTCAAAAAGTTAAAAATCCGCAAAAGTTTTTGAATTAATCTTTATAAAATATCAAGAAGGAACTGCAATACAGGATCAATAAAATTCGATACGATAACAATAAGTTATAAACGTGATATCACTCTCTTGCTGTATAAATAGAGCTGTAAAATAAATTATAAAAAATGAGGTGAATACTTTGCTACTTAAAAAGCAATAATGCTAATCGTCTTAGAGTCTCAATCGTCTGTCTGTACAGTTTTAAAACAAAGAATATTGTTGCTGGTTGAATGAACATTGGGAATTAAAAATTTATGGAGATCTGATTTTTTTTCTCCAGATGTTACATAATTTTAAGGTTTTGGAGCATTCACAACATTGGTTATATTGATTAATTATGAAGTCAAGTGGGGCTGGGGATGTTATATATAATACGCCTAGAAACTATATACAACTTAATAAATCCAATACTCAGTAAATCCACCAGGGGCGTAGCCAGGAATTTGAAGAGGGGGGGACAAAAAAATTTTATATGGAAAATTCAGAGGGAAGGGGGGATTTTTATGATTTTTTCATAAAAGTCCTAGCAAAATGAAGAAATTTCTGTTAACGTTGGGGGATTTGTCCCCCAAATAACCCTACCCCCCTGGCTACACGTCTGAAATCAACACAATCTCAGATCACGTACTTGTGTCTTTACAATGTGCAGAGCTTGCAAGTGGTTCGGATCCCACCATAAACTGTAGGTTTAAAGGGTTTGGTACAATAGATTCACACAGGCTGGGCCCTTCACACATTATTATTAATCCATACAGTCCTTAAAACCAAAATCAATAATGTTCCTATTTTTTTAAGAGAAACCTCAATCACTTACTCACTCAGTTCATTCATACAAACTTGCATGCAGTATACTAAACTAGCTGACTGTATAGTCACTAATTTCCCCAACATTTACATCTTCATATTATTCATTACTTCTGCAAAATATTTACAGATTTCTCCAATGAGTCTTCTTAACTTTAAACATGAAAAAATGACATATCCCTCAATGTTATACTGACTAGATTTCAATATCCTATTAAAATTTCTGAAGAAAATCTTGAAACTTTCAGATCATTTTCCAATTTGTCAGTTCCAATCTTGAAAGCTTTCAAATTCTTTGAGCATCTACATGATGCGATATGAATTGAATATCTTCTGAGAAAAGCACAACCCACGCGTCAGAGGAATCAATTTTTCAATTCTTCGCTGCAAATGAAAATTATTAGACTTGCTGCAGTCGAAAGACATTAACATTGTAATTACAATAAGCCAGACTTCTGAAAGTTTCAATAAATGATGCGAAAAGAATTAAACAATGCAAATAATGACAAAAGACACTCGTCGGTACGAAAAGAGAATAGAAAATTCTACCCGTGCCTCTCACAACCACACTCAAACGAGACGACTGTTTGTGATGCAATCGCAATTGTTTTGCTGTTGACATACTGATTTAATTACATAACAATTCTTTCATTTCCTGTGTATCGCTTTTTTTATTTGCAGTTCCAGTACAGCACAATATGAGGAGGATAATCAAAGTGTACGTATGTACTTGCGAGGACGTCCTGTAGTACTCTATGTTCCTGAAAAGCGAGCCGATTCAGTGAATTATGATATCACGAAAGTACAACCGGCGCCATCCAAAAAACTCAAGTTGGATTGGGTGAGTTTCATTTATTATCTTGTATAGAATGTTTATGACAGGTTGTAGCAGTGGAATTAATTGTTTTGGATGCAGATTTTATATGGGTTTATTAAGCTGGATTGTGGCTGTATGTGCTTATATTGTATTTAAAGGCTTTAGATATATGGACAGCAATCTAAAGGATGATAAAGATTATGAATCCGGTGGGAATCGAACTCATGTTCTGATACTTTCTATACGTATTCCCCATCAATCAACTATCTTGGACTTACCATTACATTAATAGCTTTGCCTTATTAAGCAATATAAATTAAACTCAAACCTTAATCAGTCTGTCTTATTCAAAATAATTATAAAACTGCTTAATACTCTCCAATAGAGAATAATCAATTCTAATCCACAACTCCCATCAACTCTTCTACTTTTAGGTCTATGGCTATCGTGGCAAAGATTGTCGCAGTAATCTCTACCAACTGCCAACAGGAGAAATTGTCTACTTTGTAGCAGCAACAGTCGTTCTATGCAACATCGATGAGCAATCGCAACGTCATTATCTTGGCCATACAGACGACATCAAGAGCCTTGCAATTCATCCCAATAAGCTACTTATCGCAACGGGACAATGTGCTGGGCAAGATCGCAGAACAGCATCGCCTCATATCCGTATATGGAATTCAGTGTCATTAGCAACAATGGCCATTATTGGTGTCGGTGATTTTCAATCGTCAGTAACATGCGTGAGTTTTAGTCAAGCTGATAATGGTACGCTGTTGGTAGCAATTGATGATTCATCCGAGAAGACAATTAGTGTATGGGAATGGCAAAAAGGTGAAACTGGCAAGAAAATTACAGAAACAAAATGTTCAGTCGACACAGTTGTCGGTGCTGAGTTTCATCCGCTTGATCGTAATCAAATTATTACAATTGGAAAGAATCATATTGCATTCTGGACATTGGATCAAAATGGTGCACTTTATAAGAAAATGGGAATTTTTGATAGTCGTGAGAAGCCAAAGTATGTGACATGTTTGACATTCACAGCATTTGGTGATGTCGTTACCGGCGATTCTAATGGAAATATTATTCTTTGGGGTCGTGGAACAAATGCCATTGGTAAATTTGTTAAGAAAGTCCATGAGGGCTCTGTATTTTCACTATGTGCTTTGAGAAATGGAAAATTAATTTCCGGTGGTGGTAAAGATGGTCGATTAGTGCTTTTAGGAGAAGACTTGACTCCAGCTGGCGTTGAAAATTATGTTGAACCACATTTCGGTGCTGTGCGTGTTGTAACGCAAGGCAAGGGCATGCAATTGCTTGTTGGAACGACTAAAAATTGCATATTGGCTGGTGATCTTGATATGGGATTTACACCCGTTGTTATGGGACACACTGACGAGCTATGGGGCTTAGCTATTCATCCAAATATGCCACAATTTATAACAGGTGGTCGTGATCGATTGCTGCAAATGTGGGACACGCTATCGCATTCTGTTGTTTGGAGTAAGGACATTGGCGAGCAAATTCAATGTGTTGAATTCCTTCCAGATGGTGAATTAGTCCTTGTCGGGACATTAACTGGCAAGTGGTTGGTCTTTGATCCAATGTCAAGGGAACTTTTGTCACAATATACAGACGGACAAGAACCAATTCAAATAATTAAAGCATCACCGAATGGAACACTCGTTGCTGTTGGCTCACGTGACAACACAATTTACATCTATCAACGAACTGGAGTTCCTCATAAATTCAATCGCATTGGCAAATGTAATGGACATTCAAGCTTTATTCTGTTCTTGGATTGGTCACTCGATGGAGAAGTTTTAAGATCAAATTCTGGTGACTACGAGATATTGTTCTGTAAGTCATTATTGGTCAGCATTTGTCACTCAATTACTAACTTCATTATTATTATATTCCAGGGAATCCAAATTTATGTCGACAAATAACAAACAGCTCATCCTTACGTGACACTGAATGGGCATCAAACTCATGTGCTATATCATTTGAAACGATTGGAATTTGGCCAGAGGGAGCTGATGGAACGGATATTAATGTTGTTAACCGTAACTTTGACAAAAGTCTTATGGCCACGGGCGATGATTTTGGAAAGGTCAAATTGTTTACATATCCAGCATCGAAACCAAAGGTGAGAATGAGATAATTAAATGACATTGAGGAAATTGAATGCTCTTAATTGGAACTGAATTAATTGCAAAACTTAATTGAGGTCGTTAAATAAGATAATGGATGATATTGACTTACATTTATGCAATTGCTTAATTAAGTCTTATTGTGAGTGATTTAATTGAGATACTTCCGGAATTTATTGATTTTTAAGTGGTTTGAGTTCGCGATTTTGTGATCATGGGGTTTGCTTGACGCAGACATGAACCAGACGTTAGTCAGAAGCGGATTATCTGATACAGATGATGACTAGGGGTTTGGGATCTTAGATATGAACCATGTTTTGTGAAAGACATCTTAATAAAGCTATCATACTCTTCCTGTGTTAAGATTTGACATTAGGTCAAACAAAATCCATCAAATTTTCAAGCACTGCCAGTCAATATCAATTCAGAATCTCCTCAAAATGTCCACAAAAGATTCAACGAATATTTAATCAATAATTTCTCAATTCTTTCAATTTCAGTCACTTTCATACACCTATGGAGGGCACAGCAGTCATGTCACAAACCTATCATTCCTCCATGACGATACACGCTTGATATCAACCGGTGGCGCTGACACAGCTGTCTTACAATGGGCAATTATCTAATCAACTCATCGTTCATTGTATTCAAATTGATTAATTCTATACGACACAAAACTGCACTTGTTATGAAACTTTTTGGAAACTTTCGGATATACAAAAATTAAATAAATATTTTTCTCTACTCTTCTTTCCAGTTTGAAAAAAAGTAATAAAAATTATCAACCAAAACTGACAAATTTCTTCTCCTGTTGAAGCTTCACATTAAGCTTTTATTAAAGAATAAAATAATGATTAGCGCACCAAGAATTAATCCTGCCACATAAATACGAATTGTACACACCAACATACACCATATGAAACTATCAATAATGAGCATAGAAAATATATTTTAAATAAAACTTTAAAAATATCAGCAAAATAATATCTTTGGGGTTGGTTGATGGATGGTGTGGCTGTCATTTGTTAAAATTTTGGAAGATTTTAAGTTATAATTGACGGAAAGAGGCTCCAGTTGCACAATATGATCGACATGGACTAGTTGCTTGGGGAAAGCTAAAGCATACCTTATCAGGTAAACCCAAGAGGGTACATACAAATTGAATTAGATTCATTTACACATTTGTTGTCCTGTATCAAGCAACTTTGACAAATTTGTGTCCATTTTACATTCCAAAACTTGATTTCAGTGCTCAAAGTCGATGAAATTTTATATGGAGTCAAGTCTACTAGGAGTCGACTCCGCCATACAAAATTGATGAGATCTTGAGCTCTGCTAGATTTTAATGCAGCAATGAACATGACAACCAAACCAACCCCAAATTGCTTCCTCAAAACAATTTTTTTCTACCATAAATACACACCAGAACACATAATATAAAAATTATGATTATCAATCTGAACATGCAGCATGAATTTGAAGGAATTTTGACTAGAATCGAAAAAAAATGTAGACTAGACTTTAAAAAACATCAAAAATATATCAAGTAGAAGTGCTTTCTAATCCTATTAACTGAGCTTTTTTATATGAAAAACCTTTAATCTCGAGAAATTTCTAAATTCATGCTGCATGCTCACCAAAAACATGGCCTGGAATTGATACTTAAGGTTTTAGAGACAAATAATCTTGTAATATTCTAAAATAAATCTCTAAAATTAAGTTGAAGTGTTGATGCCATGCCTAAATACCCTCTATCGTTATATAGATTTAATGACAAGTCTAATTAATAATAAAATTTAGAAGAAAAATGATAAAAATCAAATCATTAGTGACTTTATGCCCACAAAAAATTAAAAAAAATTTAACTGAGTTTTGAAAAAAGTCAGAAATATATCGGATTTATCAAAAAGCAATTGTATTTAATCATTGAGTAAGGAAAATTTTATTCTTGAAGAATTTTTAAAGTTTGTTGGGATTGAGAATTGGATTTGACATTTAAGAAGCCAAAACTAGCTCTTAACAAACTCATTTTCGAATATTTAAGCAACCCTAGTCCAAACATTGCAATAATCCATGACACATTTGATTTAACCAGCTTTAATAGCCTCAATAATCAAGAATACTTAATAACCTCTCCATTGAATACAATAATCTCAGCTCAAAATTCATAACCACACAAGGACCACTTAGAATACACGAATGCCTGCTTTATATAAACATGATCCTATAAGTAGACGCATATAAACGAGTTTTCGGTCAAACACTTTCTGGTTATGAGGCTAATTGTTCAGAAAATCATTTTGATAAAAGCATAATCCGCTATAAGTATCCTTAAATCCTTTACATGTTGTATATCCAAACAAATTAGAGAATCATTGAGTATAAAAATGAAAAAGTTGCTTTATCGACAAATTGTCGGTACTGACAATACAATCTTCTTGCTCAACATTGATAATGCAGACAAATCCAATACAAGTCTCAATTCCAACATACAAGTTCTTGTATTTGACAAAGAAATCAACCAATTTTCAACTTGTAAGAGAAAAGACATTCATGAATATATTTTAGGATATATTTTATGCAAGAAAAAAAGACATAAAGGAATTACCTCTCTCTTTCTCAGATACTCAAAATTATTTGTCCAGTGCTTCAAAAAATTGATTTGATTTACAATAGTTTTGTGCAAATTTGTAGATTTATATCATGATATATGATTAATATGTAGCGCTAATGAGTGAATAACAAGAAATAATGTTAATATAAAGAGTTTGGAGTTGAATGGCAGACACTGCTGTCTGTTGGTTTGATAAACACAATGCTTATTTATTAATAAGTTTAATTAAAGATTTCTCTATAGAGGGGCAAACAACTTTACAAAGAGAAATTAACTAATTGGAGCTGTACAAATAATTTGAATTTAAAGTAGCCGTTAAATTATTCTCAACAAATTCTAAAATTATCAAACCTAGTTCAATTATTCGTATACGATTTAAACAAAAATTTACATTATTAAAACTTTAAATTTTTTGATCAAACCTTTAAACGATTGCTTGAATAAGTTCAAAACTGACTATATCGCTAAGACACAAGATGAAAACGCGAAATAGATTCTTTATTTAATTCTCAAGCTCCTGACGATTACTTGTATGGTTATAGGGATGTGATTATTCATCCATATTCAGTCATCAAGTTGTTTAAACAAGATTCAATCTTAATATTTGCTGCCATTCAACTTCAAAACTCTCAAATTAATAACCTTAACAGAGTGACAAACACAATTAAACTGTAAAATTAAAGTCAGTAAAAAATCTTCTTTCTAATTCAATTAGGTAATTAAGAAACTAATTTACAGGATAAACTTTTTATTTTGAATTTTCGTAATAATATGATTAATTCCACAAAATTTATTACTCCCTAAAATGAAGTGAAAAACAATCTTTCACAATATGATAATTTTTATAATGCAGAAATCCACTAAAAAAATATGAAATTGAATCCAACATAGATAAAACTTATGTTAGAGAGAGACAAAAATTAATAAAATGAAAAAAATTGTAGAGACGAAAAAATGCAAAAAAAATGTTTTTTGAAATAATTTCTTGCAGGAAAATAAAAATTCAATTTTCTCACCGTGCTGCAGAAAAGCAAGTCGTTAAATTTTATTATCTCATCATTTTCACTTCAGCGCGCAGAATGACGTCGAGTATGATTGAAAAATAATCACATTTTCGTTGTGAATTTCAATATAGGTCATCAACAATGTCGAAGAGCTAGCTAGCTACATTTCTTATGTGGGTTATAAGGACATCAACAGATTGAAATATTTTAATTTCTTATGCACGATGCGTAACTTCAACACCCCATTGTATTGTGTTATTTTGCATTGAAAAGGTGAATCAAGAAGTCAATAGACAGTAAGTCTTTAATGTTCTGAACACATTTTTGGCATACATACTTTATGATCAGAACACGAATATTGATTTAATGATGGAAACTTTTTGGGAAATATTTTATTTTTGAGGCTAGAAAGTTTCTTTTTTCAGGGGAAGATGTGACATATGGTGTGAAAAATGAATAAAGAATGATGATGTTGACTTTTAAAGAGATATTTTAGGTTGAACTGCTGTGATTTATGCTGTGATAAAATACTTCAAGTTGCATGCACACGTCACTTTACCTATTGTGCCAATGAACTTAGTTGCAATTAAAATTTACAAATTTAATTAAGCATTCAAATGCATTTGAAACAGTGATGGACAACCCATCCGATGCGACACATTAGTGTTCCACGATTTTTTTTTGTAAATTACAAGATCTGTTTGTCGTTTGCGGTTCTGGTCATGGCTTACCATCAAGGTGTGCCATGACACAAAAAAGGTTGTCCACCACTGAATTTAGATCTTAGTATAGTGCATGTAATTATTTTGAAGGATCACATTATTTTTAAGAAAACATTTATCGAGTTTAATGATATCCTTATAATAATAATAATAATGTAAGAGGGTTCCAGCCTGGCGGTGTGTTACTACACGTTGCGATGAGCTGAAGGCACTGCGATCCTGATCAATGATATCCTTTGTTAAACTGCAATCAAAAGTGAGCTTCCAAGTACATTTTTTGTTGAACTATAGCGCTGAACAACCGTAGGATGCAGAGCAACAACCACAACCATAGAGAAGGATGCAGAGCAACAACAAAAGAAACTAGCAGAAGTAGCTGTTGTAGCCAAGGACAGAAACCTGTTCAACCGCTTTATTAACGCCCTACGATTCACAGTGGATCAATAGGACGAATCTATATTTAACAGCTGTTTTGAACAACTGTTAACTTTTGAGCGGGTCAATTCCGCTTTTTTGAACAAAATCCCGCCTAAAATCCTTAAGTTTCGCGTTTTTCAACCAGCTTTTCTTGGAAAATGCTTTAAAATTTGGTCTGTCCCGCTTTTTCAGAGCTGAATTCGGGACAAGTTTCGCTTTTCGACCAAAAATCGGCAAAAAAACCCATGAACAGTTTAATGATATTGTTAATTTGATGACAATGTGAGAACAAATGAGAACAAACTTCTCGATAATTTCAATAAATGATGATTAAATTATAATTATCTTAGATTTAATAATAACACAATTTAAACTGTTTAAATCACAATAAACCCTTTAAAATTCAATGACAATTTCCTTTCATTTTATTAAACTACTTAAAGTATTTTTGTGGTCTCCTTTATTTTCCTCTATGCATCATTAGTTTTCTTAAAGTCTTTCTGTGGTCAATTCGTCTAACAATACCTCAACCACAAATGAAGAAAATGGAAATCCTTTAAGAAAATTATTAAAAGCAGCTCATCATCCACTAGCTCCTTAAAGTTATGCAATCTTCGTGAAGAAAAATCAGCCACGCCTCTTTGGAACTCTGTTGCTGTCTCTTTTCAGCTACTCACCAATACATACAAACTCAGTTCATAATTTTTTAAAGAGGAAGAAACCAACAAAAAAGAAATACTTTTCAAACTTAATTTCTTTATGGAATTTTATTATTTTTTGCTATCTTTCGATTAAGTTTTGAAATTTTCATAAAAAATTCCAACTGAGCATTTTTTTAAAAATAAAATTCTAATTGTCAATTTGTATACAGAATACATGAAAAAAATCCTCGTATTAAATCTGTTGTCACCCTTGTTAAACTTAATCTTGAAAATCCCACATGTTTCCCACCTTCAATATTGCAGCTACCCGACAAAAAACAAATTGTATTCTAAAAAAATATAAGGAAACAATAGAAACCGCATTTATGAATGAGAATCAGGTGCATGTTATCGAGATATAGCATTAAACGAGATTTGTCAGAGATTTATTTCTCCTACGGATTCAGTTTTTTATGTGTTTGTGTTATTTATTCAATTAACATATTTCTTTCAGTTTAGAGCTGGTTGATGTGGATTGATGTAATGGTTTTAAGAATTTATTGAGCTACAATTGTATTTTTGGGCACCTGCTGTACCTAAGTCACGCAGACTTTTGTTCAAAGTATGAAGATATAGCTTCAATTAGATTTACATGGGATCAAATGGAGTCAGATGAGGTTACATCAGTGATGCCCAACCCGTGTGTCGTGAAAAAATTTGAGATGCCCCACGAACCGTATGCTGTATGCGGTTTTGATCATCGCTTACCACTAAGTGTGCCGTGATACAAAAAAAGGTTGAAAACCACTGGGTTAGATGATATCAAAATTGAGCTAGGTCAGTTGAGGTCATTTGAGGTGTAATGCAGCCGAATAAGTTACTGGAATCTGGAGTGCCGCAGTACATGGGTTTGCCATCACTGCCTTAGATGCATCATTTCAAAATTTACTGATTTTAAGAATGATTCTTGGTTTGCAGCATTCTAAATACACTATTTATTGCTTATTCTTAGTCATGTCTTATAAAACAACCTTAGGAACCAAAATTTAGTGATCTTGGGTACCTCACTCACTTAGAGCACCCTACCTACCCTGTTTTATAAAATACCGAACAATTTGTGTTGCACTAGATTGAGTAAAAGAGCTTAAATATCCAACCTACAAAAACTGCCTTGATCAGTCTCAAAAACCAACCTTAGATCAAAACCATCTCTTTATTTCTCACAATAGATTCACAAACTCCCTGAAAAACTCACTTCAATCAACAACTCTTAAAACTAAACCCTCAAAAAACAATTCCAATCCATACAACTTAATCTCCAGCTTTACAAGTCATACCTCAAAAAAAATCTATTCACCCCTGCCAATACCCGCCTCTTCTTATGTCCTCAATTTGTTTGAACAAGATTGAAAATGCAAAAGATACTCCTCGGCTATGTATCGACAACGATACCTAACGCAACACACCAATTCATTATTTATTTAAATCATATTCAATTTCATCGTTCGCATTTGCACAAATAAATACACACAGCAGACCAAGGCGTTATTAATAAGTTGGTAAATAGATGGATTGAGACACTCAACGGTTGACATTATTCTTTCACTGACGCTGTGTGTCCCACTGTAAGTGATTTAATTACGTGACAAATTTACTTTTTCAATCATGATGGGTTTTGTTGTGGATGGGAGAAGAAGTTAGGGAATTTACATAATTTTTGGATGAGGAAGGGAGGTTTTGGGATCTGGAGATGATTGTGACGCAGTTTTGGTGATTAAAAAGTAGTTTTATTAAGTCATTAACATTTTGTCATTTGGATGTTGTAAATATATTTAAACTCCTAGAGACAATAATATTGAAATGTCAGTAAGAATGGGTTCGAATCCTATAATTATATCCGATATTCGCTCATCAGAGATCTTTTTTTTTTATCAAATCTATATCCCCTCTCATCCTTATCCTTGAACGTATCTCAAACTGATCCATTTGAGCCAGTGTTCCATTCATTAGATAAAAATACAGAAATTCCAAAAAAATTATACTAGACAATAAGGGGACGTGATGGCATAAATTGGTGTTATTAAAGTTCAGTGAGTTGTAGCTTGGAATTTATAATGAACGCTAATACACAGTAATTGGCAATAACATTTCATTTTATTCGTATGTATTTTATTATTTGTCCCCAACTCACTCCTTTCGTTCACAATCGAACCGAGAGACGAAGCAAAAAAATATGTTCAGTGATAAAAATTGCTGTTTTTAAGCCTTTTTTTCAATTCAACAAAAATATCAGGCGAGAGAGAAGGAAAAAAAATTATACAAAACAGTTTAAGTGTCTCTATCACACGACTATGCTTTTTCGACAACAGCATGCATCAGTAATTACCATAAATGGCACCGCGCGCCTCTTGTTTACGTTGTGAGAATAACAATTCAATTCTTTCCTGTGCTGTTCTGTCTCTTTTGGAATTTGTGTTTTTTTTTCGGTGAATTGATTTTTTTCCGGCTACATTTTGTTAAGGAATGGAATATTTTTGGAATGGACCATTTTCGTTTAATGTGAAAGTTTTGAGATGACTTAATGTGTAGAATTTTTATAGCTGATGGAATTGCTTTTGAAAACAGGTAGGAGCTTCAAGATGCACTCATGGTCGGCTCACAGTCCTGATTTTTAAAGTTTTACGGAACATCATAGCGTGGATCAGTGTTGTTCAAACTTTTTTTCAGCCACGGCACACCTAAGGATATCTTACTGTGAACCATTGTGTCACGGCACACAGTTTTGAAAACACTAGCGTAAATTCTCTGGGTAGATGTGGAACCGCGCTTAAAGCATGGTTCAACCAGATTAAGATGGTTGACCCAGATGGGTTTGGTTCATTTGGTCACTAGACACTTCTTCACTAGGATACTTATTGGATTGAAAATCACTAATTTCATCTTTTTGGATTAAAATGTGTCAATTTGCAAGATTTTGATAAGCAAAAAGTTTGAAATTTTAAAAGCTAAGAAAAATTGAAGGTTCAAATCCTTGAATAGCTTTGTAGTAAGAACTATGGTTCGTTGATAAGTTGTTCTCCAATGATTATCATCTTAATCTTTTTATATACACTTTAAATCTTCAACCACCTTTTTTTGCCAAATTATTACAAAATA